AAGTATCCACGTTGCGAGACCAATATGAAGGTTGGCATCCGAATAACCACTCAAATGAGGACTTTAATGGTGCAAAAAGAAAGGTGCCACTTAATACTGTGACACTACCCCCGCTTCAAGGTTCAGACTCCGGATGAACTGAGTAAATGCTATGGTAAATGGTACCCTCGCTTCAGGTTCTGACTTCCAGGGTGGAATGGCAGGGTGTGTTGTGTGAATGGCATCTAAGACTTTTGCTAGCAGCAAAAAGGGGTGATGCAGTTTAATGACTTGCTCAGGTAAATGGTGCACTTGTGGGGCTAACAGCTCTTGGTCCTAGATGTCTGATGTCACAGACAGCGCTATTGGCTGCTGTTGTCCAAGATAGTGTGCAAAAGGGCTTGCAGTTTAAAGACATGCGCTTGGTCATTTGTGGCACTCAAAGCTGCCAAAATGTGAACAGTTTAATGACGTGCCAAGGTCGTTCAAAATGCATGATTTGTAAAAAGAGACATTTAAGGCCCTGCCACGGCTGTTCAGTATCACTCTGGATACTGGTTCCAATCGAGGGCTTCACTGGTTATCGAATGCGGTCATCGGTTGTAATCATCCACTTGCTTGCCCCCATGCTGCTTGCCACTATGCCATGGGGGCGGTGAAGTACCAGGTTCGAATCTTGACCAATATATGTTCTTTACTACATAATCTATGCTGATGTAATCATGTGGTGTTGGAAGGTGGCGTGATGTTCCTAGTCACATGTCTGAGTATGATGTCATTTGATTGATTTGATCGATCACGATTGTGGTTGATCTGTGATTTGAGTCGAGATAGACTTTCTGATCGATCGTGATCATGAATGACGTCATTGTGTTGGCGCTCATAGCTGCCATAGTGGTGCAGTTTTGGTTGACTTGCCCAGGTCCATGGTGGCACTCAAAGCTGCTAAATGATAGGATGCCCTTGGTCAGAGGGCTGTTCCAAAGATTGTGTCTTGTACCCAAAAGGTTGCCTATGTCTTTTTAGGATTTTATATAGAATAGCTGCCATGTTTGCATTGTTGTATGCAAGTAGATGTGTTCCCCAACGCTGTTCATACTTGTTGGCAATGGTCTCTCGATTGCCCTTTAGGTTGGCATGCTATGTAGGCAAAAGTTGAAAAATGGAAGGTTTAAAAATGTGATCCTTTGGTGCTGCTTGGATCATCCTTGACTTGCTCACGCTCGTCTTTGGACATGTGGTCCTAATTGCTTCGCAGATCCTTTTCGACTCTTCGAATAGGACATGCGCTCGATACTTGCTATATATCTTTGAGTGCTGCACTTCTTATGCGCACGTCTTCAGATAAGCTCATACATACTCGCTGTATCCTACATTACCTCCCCCTTGCCAGGTTCCTCCCGGAACCGACATGGCATGAGCGAGTTAAAACAAGACGGGGGTAGCACAAAAAGTAAGGGAGGGTGGGTGGGAGAAAAAGCCTTATAACTTTTGGGGAAAAGGTAGTTTAGGCATCCCATAATGAATAATTTACTACTTATTTGTGCAATATGTAGTAAATTTGAGACCATGTCTGGATAAAAGGGTTCCCGATATCCCATTGTGTGTGCCAAAATAACTCCCTAAAAATTAGATTATCTATTGTGGACTGCTAAGTAAAGATCTATTTCCGCCAGCAGTTTACAGTCAAAGACTGCCGTGCTCTTGGAGATCTTATATGTGAACAATCACTGTGTCGATTCAGAGTAGCATGTCTTTAGATATCCAGAATATTTTATATATTTATAGGTGACCAATCCTATATACAAATGATATATAAATGTCATAGTTTCATGTCATTTCGGACGTTGAAGGTCTTATGTAAGCGATAACTCATAGTATTTTCGCATAGAGCAATAACTCGTGGTATTTTCGCAAATATTGTCTATATTGAAATGAATATGGGTGGGGGGACAAAGGTTCCAATATCAAACGTTGCTGCAGCGCTGTCCTGGTAAGGGAGCGGCTTACGTGAAGGTGCCTGCTACCAAGTTTTGAGGTAGGCTGACAGCGGTAGAGGTGATGATGGATGTGTCAAAAAAGGTACGTCCCACACCTGGATTTCTTGGGCTGAAAAAGCACAAGCGAATAACTCTAGGTCTTCTTCACTTGGCTCAAAAATTAAACAGTTTTGTTTAAAGTGGTCATGTTTAGGACTAAAAAAATCACACCAGCAGCAGGAAGCTGGGGGCGTGCATGGA